TTTAAATATTTTAGCATTTTAAAAAAGTAAATCAGAGCTAAAAAAGTGCAAAAACGCAGGCAAATTTGCCTGCGTTGATCTACATATTAAGGGATAGTACTTTTAATAATCGCTCTTGATAATTCTATAAAGTTTTAAAATTATTTTAGCATAATCACTTTAGATAATTCTATAGAGTTTCAAAATTGTAACTGAAAAGTTAAACTAGTTTCTAACAGAAGATAAACTCATTTTTTAGAGTCAACTAGACAGCCCCAAAGTATAGAAAATGGCATAGCCAGAGCTAATAATGTACCAATCAATATCAATTTTAATAACTAAGATATCTAAAGTGATTATCAATATAAACTATATATAAGAAGTTATAGCATAGCATATATATATATTGCATTTATTAATCTATAGATTGTTTAATATTAAATTCTAGTAATTGGGAGTTTCAAAGTTAACAAATAGGTGATGCATTTTAAAAATAAATAAGATTTTTTAATAGTATTTTTACTTTATTGATTTATAAATCGAAAAAATAAATTGTAAAATAAATGAAATTCTTTGAATTTAACTTTGAAACTCCTAATATATTAAATTTATAATTAGGACTATTTTAGGTTTTTTCTATACAATATTCGCTTATTGCTAAAAATTAGATTTGTATCTACTATGTATACTATAGCAAAAATTTTAACTGTTTTAGACAATAATATATATACTTTGATTATTCGACTTTATAATAAGTATTAAATTTATATATATTAATTTATATATACATATATATTAAAGTAATAGATTAATATTTGTAAGATTTATTTCTATATTATAGATTTTTATAAGAGGATTCTCAAATTTCCAGGTTAGATAGTTAGAATGCATCGGGTTAAGGTCAGTTCAGAATTAGAGTTATAATAGTTATTAGTAAAAGTTATAGTAAAATTATTAGCTGGATATTTTTTACATAATAAAATAAATAACTTAAAGTTTCTTTAGTAAAATTCTTAGTAATCTTGGCAAAATTGATCAATTCTGGCTCATCTGACTAAAGTTCTAATATATTCCAACCCAGAATTTTGAAACTTCATGTAGAGTTTGACAGGGCGATCTCTCGGATACATGATAGTAGATGATCGACTTCCGTCATAACAATTATTATTACGATTCAAAAAGAGTATGATAAGGACTTCACATATGAAATAAAATAATAGAGTGTTGGTCATCACTATCATGTATCCGGCAGGTGGATCATCAACCATCATGTAACCAGACTTTGGAGGGGCCGCCCTGTCGAACTCCTTGATATATGGGTTATATAATATATATAGTAAATATTTGAAAGCATTATTTAAAAGCATGAATAACTAATATTTTTTTTTCTCTAGTATATACTTCAGAATGCTTAAAGGCTACTAATAACAACTTATTTTAAATATCTAAATTAATAAAAAAAATTATTTTTTATACAACATTATTTTAATGAGAATAAATTAGTAAGTATTTATTATTTAAATATTTAACCAAATATTTTTTATAGCTACTATAATAAAATAAGTTAATAATTATAAACTTAACTTTTTAAATACTTGATATTTTTAATTTGTAATTTATATAGAAGTTAATTAGATATATATATTATGCTGTATATAAATTAGATTAAATTCACGCTATTAATATATAAAATAATTTTATTTATATTATTCAAAAGAAATTAACGATAATATGAATAATCTTACTATACTGAAATTATTGAAAAGCTGAACGATTTGATATAATTAAACAGAAATATTTCTCTAATAATTTAACTTATTCTGCAAGACCGTAAGTAGACATAGTAGATTTGAATAGTAAGTAGACATAATAGATTGAATAGAAAGTTGTAACTAAACCCATTAAAGTCTTTGCTTTTAGCACTTATATCATAATATTTATTTATAGACTGTGAATATTAATACTTTTAACAATTTATTCGACATAAGCTATTTCATATAATATTTATTTATTATAGAATTATATTTACAGCTATTACATTTATATTTATATGCTAAATAAAATTGTATCCATATTCAAAAAGAAAGCTAAAAAGTAAAATACGCAAAAGAAACAAGTACTATGATTCATAATGTAAGTTAAACTACTACGTAAATTAAACCATAGTGTTTAGATTTGCCCTCACTTTCTTTTTTAGAAGGCAGTGGTTGAGAATGCGATTTAGAATAATATAGTTGTCGTTGCCGGCGATTGCGCGACGTATTTAATTCGTGTTCATAATCATTTCTATCACCTAGAAATAATATAAATATATACATTGATCATATTACAAGACTTGAGATATAATAATTATATACTTACTTGGCCTAAGCCAAAATAACGATTGGAACTCTTCATAAAATAACCTTTCTAGAAGTGTACTTTGTCCCCCATTTCCTGTACAATATAATCTCATTAACTAATAAAACAAAAATAAAAAATTTAATATTAAAAGTTTGTATGTTATATTATATAACAAAATTTAACCTATAGTTATATACATTGTATTCCTTAATGAGCTGATTGAACTTTGCCTTGCATTGACTACTAGTATAGGAAGTATTGAAACGAGGATTTAAGCATTCTGAAATGCTTAGCCAAAATCGAAGTTTTTTGAATGTTTGGTGGTATTCGCTATTTCTACACTTTCTCTCAGCAACTAAAAATCGAATCTCGTCAATTTCCCACATATTTAATAATTAATAACAGAGAATATAAAAAAATAACAAAAAAAAAAAACTTATTTAAAGAAATTTTATAGTAGTTACATACGAATTACATATGAATACTCAGTATTGAATATGCTTACATATATACACTAAAAATTTAAAATACGTAAGTAAAATATATGTATTATTATAATTAAATAAAAAACTTTATTTATACGTATGTATACTTTTATATAATATGCGATTAGATATTACATATATAATCGTTAATAGAAAACTGAATCTAATAGCATGACTGCCAAAAGCTATTATGTAATTGCAATATAAAATCATCATGATGTGATTATATATTAGTTATTTATGACGATACTGTTTATAATATAGTGTCATAACAATGGTTGTTTATATATTTCGTAAAAATTTAATGAAAGTTGATTATTTTTGGTTATTTATGACGATACTTGTTTATAATATAGTATAGCAATAGTGTTCTTATCGTATATTGTAAAAATTTAACAAAGTTAAATCCAAAAAAATGATCATTTTGTTAAAAATAAAAAACATGTATCGAATGCATAGATATTTGTAAAATTTGAAGTTCTTGAAGACGTATATAGTTTATAATAAACTTATGGATATACTGAAAACGAAGGTATACAAATCAACATTGATAAATCATATACAAATTAATAGCTACTAAAATTGTAAGTCTCTGTGAAAAAGATGACAGATATCTATATTTATCGTAAGTATTATAGTAAAACAAAAAGTACAATATTCACTTATTATGCAATTGTCATCAAGAGCTAGAAAATAAAAGTTTTAAATAATTTTAAGCAACACATTGCAGAGTTATGAACTATAATAATTGTAAAGATGCTATTCTCGTTATAATCGATTTACAAAATAATTTAGCATCAATAACATCCTTTAGAAGCATATATTTATTAATAATTTTCTATTAAGGTTCAATGAAATTCAAATTATCTGATAATTAAAGAAGCTAAAAAAATGATATAGGAGACCATTTATAAGTCATTTGATCACATTCAATTTTTCTTAGCAATAACAATTAATTTAATGTTTTGGAATGTAATATTGCAGAAGATGACAAATTAAATGATAATGAATTGAAAATTATCGATTAATATAAAAACAGATATAGCTTATTTATTATTTTATCGAATTAATTATATGTTTATAATAAAATAAAAGTAATATCAATATTACTCTAATATAGATGTACGATTTTCTTGAAAAAGCTTATAACCTTCCACAGCAAAAAGATTGAAAATATTAAATCAAGTTACAAACCGATCCAAGAACACTTTTTATTGATAGTGAAAATTTAAAATTCATAGTTACAAAAGACTTAGAGGAGTAGATTAAAAGATAGCACAGTAGCCTTAGTAAATTGAAAGATATTTTAGGCCTGAGTTTCTGGCTTAGTAAAGTTTCCTCAGACAATGATTTTATAATAAAAATTAGATTTCTACATGTGTTATTTATATATATTTTATTATTTTAGATATATTATTTTTTTATTATTATTTTGTTATCGTTTCTTGTATTTCATATTCTATTATTATATAATAAATTACTTCTAATAAATAAAGTTACTTTATTAAGTAATAAATAACTTTGGGAGTTTCATAACATCATAACACGAGTACAAGTGCTATAAATTCTGAGTCAAGCGAACTATCAGAACTAAATTGGATTAACGACCTACCAACTATTTATCACAATAATGTTTATCGTAAAATTCTTAAAGATAGTAATTTTGACATGGTTATATTAGATTTGTATTGAAATTAATGTAATTTTTTATACTTATTTACAGTAAAATTTTGTTTATTTACTTGATGAAACAAGCAATTTCGATATGTTTTTAAAAAGAATTTTATGTTTTTTAAAAGATAATAAATCAATTTTTAATTTTTAATAATATAGAAACTAAATTTTTTAATATTAAATATTTTTAATTAATAAATTATATTTTTAATAGTAAATTATATTTTTAAAAATATTTAACTATTAAAATTTTAGCAAAAAAAACTTATTAGTAGAATAAACAAGTAAATCTATATAATAAATATGTTATTATATATATAATAAATCTGTTATTATACAATATTGTTATACAATATCAAAATAATTTTATTAAAATTTTGAATCAAAATCTTAATATTATTTATAATTATAATTATACTACAATACTAAATAATATTTTAATTAATCTGTAATATTTAATAATATCTATATATTTAATAAAATATAAAATAACTATTATTTATTAAATTTAATATATAGTTTATATAATAACAAATTTATATATAATAAAGACTTAATATTTAATTTTGAAATATTTTATAATATTTTATAGTTTTTTATTACTTAATTTGTAGCTTTTTGTATTCTATTCCTATATTTTTAGCTTTTTGTATAGCTTTTTGTAATTTATATACTTTATTTAAAGCTTTTTGTAATTTGAAAATATTTTATTAATAAAATTTATAATTGTATTAAGTTGTTTTTTTTTTTTTTGGTTTTAAGGTGAGGCCTTGCTCATATCTTTATTAGATAATTTATATAAGTAATTACATAGAGACTATATAAAAACTTAATTTGTATACAAACAAATAAATATAAATTACATATATAAATAGAAGCTCAGACTGATTTATCTGTGATCTAAACCTACTAGAGTGATCAAGACTCACCTAGTTTAAATAGTTAAAATATGATTAATGTGTATGCTATATTTAATTTACATAGTAGACCAAATATTGTATTTAAGAAAGGCTTGTCTTAATGGATGGCATGTGTTAGAGTTAAAGTATAGCTAGTCAGCATAGCAACAGGAGCAACTATATGTATAGATAATTCTGTTTCTGTAGTTTCTAGAGAGTAAAGAGGGCTGAAATATAGTATTGATATGTGATAAAATTTGATGAACTTTTTTCTAGTGCAAAAAGTTGGAGCAATGGGGGATCCAGATATTGTTATAGAGTTGATCAGAAATTTTTAAAAATATTTTGATAATAAGTTGGGAGGCTTGGGAGTAAGAAATTTCGAAGAGGTCCAGAGATTGGATTAGAGCAGTAGGTATGAGATCTTTAATTATGAAATCAAGAGTGTAGGGGTATAGCTGTGTAGTGTATATTAGATTATTTAGTTGGTGTGTCGTAAAGTTGAGATTAGTGTTGGAGATGATATTATAAATTGAGATGTTAATAGTTTGGTTATGAGTATATTGTCAGGACAGGAGTACCAATGAGAGGGGGTATTAGGCTGGTTGTATAGAAAACAATTAGAAGATATAAATGTAAAAGGGTAAATAGAGTGAAAATATACATGTGTTAGAAGAATATTAAAAAGCATTTTGATTTTAAATGATTTTAGATGGTTTAATTTAGGGTTGATAAAGTTGTGTGATATTTTTTGATTGTTGTTAAAGTATAGCCAAGAGGCTTTTCAGTCAATTAGATGAGAGAAGTGAGACTATTCATGGACACGATGTTGTAAGAACCTTAGAGCGATATTCTGGGCTTTTCAAATTGATTTAATAAATTGTCTAGTAGGGCTTTCAATAAAGCTGTTGTTCCATTACAGGATAGAGAATAGGTTATAAAGATTAATATAATTAAAGTATAAAATTGGTGAGGTAGAGTAGTTATTTGCTAGTAAGTCTGTAAGATTATTGAAAGGGTTGTCAGAAAGAGATCGGAAGAGCAC